AATGTTTGTCCCTCTGTCTGAATCCAAAATTCCAAAGCTCTCACTGCGCACAGGAGAGCCTGTTTTTCTTCTCATGGGTCACTGTGTATGAGGCTTTGTCTTGACGTCTTGGCCTGGAGTGGATTCTAAAACTCTGTCCTGAGGCTCCATGTTACCAGACAGCCTGAAGAAACCTGGCCGTCTCTATAGCACCAGTGAAGTCTGCTGTATATCGTCAGCACTATGGCTGGAAAGTTCTATTTGAGAATAAGCACAGATCTGGCTTCTTTGGCATACTTCTGTAAAGTTTAAATAGACTAAACTTAACTTACAAGCAAGTTAGTTTTACTGTGATTGTCTCTGATAAGAAATGTGGATGGTAGTAGAAAAAAATTATACTTCTATAGAGAACCATGTTGCACCCAGGCTCTCATTCTGGCCACTGCCTTTGAAGTCTCAGCTATCTGACTTCACAGGCTCCTGATGCAGTGTAATTCCCTCCTGACAGGGACACTCACAATCTCTCTTGTGTGTTTCACCCTTGTGAGTCTTCAAGCCTTTTAGATGTCCACTAACTTGGCAAACAGTCTCTGCAGGAATCAAACAACAAAATCTGTATGCACAGGAGTCATCAGCAGAGCCTGCTGAGTGCGGCTGTGCACCCTGGGTGCAGAGAAGGAGACCTGAGGACTGGGAGAATGCGTCAGAGCTGTCACACTGTCAAGTCAAAAGAGAAGAATCTGGAAGAACAAGTCAGTAAACAACCTGGAGAAACGCCTTGCCTGGTTTCTCAGACATAAACTCAGGTGTGTTTCTTGCCAATAGCAATTAGTGAATTTGCTTTTCCAGTTCAATTCAGTCACTCATCCACTAGTCACTTTCATAGGCGCTGGACATTTCTAATGGAGATATTTGTAAATGAATAAACAGCTGAAGAGCCTCTTGTACATGCCCCACAAGAATTCTTATTCTTTGCTGAGAGAATTAGACTTCCCCAGGGATGAGCTCCCTAGCTGGTTATCCAACACCAAGCAGTCAGCCCTGAAAGCAAATGCATGCAAGCAGGACTCAGCAGGTTGTGGGGTGTGTGTGTGTGTGTGCGTGTGTGTGTGTCTGTCTGTCTGTGTGTCTGTCTGTCTGTGTGTCTGTCTGTCTGTGTGTCTGTGTGTCTGTCTGTGTGTGCCTGTGTCTGTCTGTGTGTTTGTGTGTGTGTAGTGTGTGTGTGTCTGTCTGTCTGTCTGTGTCTGTGTGTGTGTGTGTGTGTGTGTGTGTGTGTATAAAACAGTAACATTTAAAGGAAAAGAGGCCATGAATTTGAGAGGGATGGGGAAGCTGGGAGGAACTGGGAAAGGTAAAATTGCATAAATATACTTTAATTTCAAATGTTTTTAAAAAGTGAATGTCTATTCTAGCACTGATGGTACTGAGGGAAATGATGGAATGTTTCTTTAGAAGAATTAATGGAATATATTTAACAACAGATAAATGCATTAAGAGGTAACATATATTGATAAAAAACAGATCTCACAATGTGTATTAGTGAATCAAGTTACAAAATTATGCAGGTACTTACATAAAACTGTCAGTACACAAAATGATATTGCCTGTTGTTACATGTCTTCACACAGCTAATGACATATAACACATGGCTTTTTATTATATTTTGTTACCTATCTGACAATAGTTACCTCTGGGAACAAGAGTAATGGTGCCAAAGGGTAACTAGAGAAAACTGCATCTCTTTGAAATTTTTTTTGGCTAAAAGTCTTAGGGTTTCTATTGTTGTGAAGGGTATTCTATGACCACAACTCTTACAGAGAAAAAACATTTCATTGGGGTGGCTTACATTTTCAGAGATTTAGTTCATTATCATCATGGTGGGACACGGTGGCATGCAGGTAGACACGGTGCTGGAGTAGTAGCTGAGAGTCCTACATCTTGACTTGCAGGCAACAGGAAGTGAACTGAGACACTGGCTGTGACTAGAGCATATAGGAGATCTCAAAGCCCGCCTCCAGTGACACACTTCCTCCAACAAGGCCACGCCTACTCCAACAAAGACACACCTCCTAATAGTGTCACTAGTTTGGGAGGCCATTTTCTTTCAAATCACCACAAATAACTATGTCAAAAGTTCACTATACCAACTGTGGCTATGCGTTGATACAAATGCAAATAAGTCAAATGGATCTTTTCTCCAGGAAAATTATTCCTACATTTCTGGGAGGTGGTGACACATGCTTATAATCCTGGCACTCAGGAGGCAGAGGCAGAAGGATCTCTGTGAGTTTGAGGCCAGCCTGGTCTACAACTCAAGTTCCAGGACAGCCAGAGCTGGTACACAGAGAAACCCTATCTCGATAAACTAAATAAATAAATAGCATTCCTACATAAAAAGGGGAAATAAAAGGCATGCCAATAATTATCAATCTTATTTAGAGATAAATTTAGAAGTGCAGGGACTTGAGCAGAAAAGAAACATCACACTCCTGGATTGTTAGAGAAACAATTTAACACTGTCAATTCTCTACAGCACTCTCAAGCCATCTCAGTTCTAATCAAACCTTCGCTAGGACTTACTGGACAGGGACAGAGACACTTAAGTTCTTGTTCTGTGTCAGAGCTGTCCCAGCACTGATGGAGACAAGCCCTGGGGATCTTGTTACAATGTAGATCTAACCTAGTATTCTCCACTGAGCCGAGACTACCTTTCTAATGAGATCCAAGATGCCATGCCAACAGCCTAAGAGACAGACAGTAGCTAAGATATGGAAAGTAGATGTAGGAGAAATAAGGCAAATAAGCCAGCACCCACATGGCAGCTCACAACTGTCTGCAACTCCAGTCCCAGGGGATCCAATGCCCTCCTCTGACTTCCAAGGGCACTAGGCATGAACAGGGTGCATAGACATACATGCAGACAGAACACACACACACACACACAAAGTATTTTTTTTATTTTTAAAGAAACACTCAAATGACAAGAAAGTAGGGTGGATATTTAAATAATAATAGCAACAGGTTATGCTTATTAGATGTTTGACTAGCAGCTGGGATGGGACTCCTCTCCTCTCCTTTTTTTCTTTGAGACAGGGTCTCTCTTCAGCCCTGGCTGTCCTGGGACTTACTATGTGGACCAGGCTGACCTCAATGTCACAGAGATCCAACTGTCTCTGCCTCTGGAGTGCTGGGATTAACAGTGTGCACTACCACCGCCCAGCATCCTGTACACCATTTTTTAAGGCAACACTGGAACAGCTTAGTAAGGAAATACCTGGCATGAAAAGCCCAGAAATCCTGACCACCAGAAACTGATATGGAGACTAGAAACATGTGGTCAAAGGAAGTGCAGACTAATAGTGTTCAAATTACTTCCAAATCCCTCAAAGCACCATGAGTCCCACACATTAAACAAGGACCACCCGGTCAGAGTCCATGAAGACACATTTTGAGTCCATAGGCAAAAATCTATGTTATAACTGACGCTTCTTGACAATGAAATACTATTCCATTAGTTTCTCGGTGTGGTGTCTGAATGAGCTGTCTCCCTATGTCTCAGGCTTTTGAATACTTGTCCCCTAGCTGGTGGCTGTTTGAGAAGGATTAGAAGTGGCCTTACTGGAGAAATATGACAGTGCAAATGGGCTTTGGGGTTTCAAAAGACTCCCACCATTTCATGTTAGCTCTCTCTGCTTCCTGTTTGTGGGTCCAGACGCGAGCTCTCAGCTGCTCCTGCTGCCCTGCCTGATGCTTGCTGTCCTGGTGGTGCTGAGCTATTATCCCTTTGAAATAAACCCTTCCTTCTCTAAGTTGCCTTCGTCGTGGTCTTTTATCACAGCAATAAAAAGGCAGCTAATATACCTGAAAGTGAGGATCTGCAAGAGACTGCATGGCTACGTCAGAGATCTCACAAATGAAATGTCTGTATGGGAAATGTCTGTCATCCTAACAGAAGCAATGTTTCCTATCAGTTAGGCAGAGGGGTCTACACTTGTTATCATCCACTGTATGTACTCAGCAAAACGTTAACAGCTAACGGCAAATGACTGCCTTACCCTGCTAGGTAAGCCAAATACGCCTGCTATTCCGTGCCTAGGCCTAACGTAGGTCTAGTTAAAGAAATAAGCCAACTAATTCAAAATAGAGTACGTGTCATATGCAGGCCCATTGTCCCTTTGCTCAAGGTTTCCCCACATACATGATTTTGTTAGAGCTGAAATAAGTACAGCCAACATTAGTAAATGCTACACATAGATAATCCTAGGATCCAGGTAGTGTCAGGTAAGTCCTCGGATGACTTATCAGCAAGAACACACCCGGAAATGAGGAACCACTAGAATACGCATAAGGGCTTTAAAGGCAAATTCCTAGTGTAGTAACTTTAATCTACTAATACATTAATATTATCCCACCAGAGACAATATGAAATGGTGATTTTACCTGAAAAAATCTTAACTACAGTGGAAATGTAACAATTCTATCCACTCACCTCCTAAAATTATTTTATTCATTTATTAACTATCTTATAAAATATATTCTTGGGGGAATAAATCAAAAAGAACAAAAACTAGACCCCTTCCAAGTTTACATGTTACAAAGGAGACTTAAACAGATCAACTTCAATACAAGCTGATTTCATTCCAGCTTCCACGAAGATCTCAGTCTAGCCCTGCCTAAGCACATGGTGCTTTTGCAAGTCGGTATGTTTAACCAAAATTAATACATCAATAGCAGAATGGTACATGTTTGAGCACCATTACATTCTAAATATAAAACCCTCCAAATCCATAAAAGTGCTTAAAAAATCAACATTTTTACATAATAAAAATGCTGACAGCAGAAATAAAGCATTGAGCTTAAATGGCAGAAGCTGTGATAAGCAATTGTGTTTTTGAAAAAGAAAAAGTTTGAAAGTCTTATAAAAATGACAGCAAATGGTTTCAAACTAGCAGGAGTGCAAAGGGAGCCTGAGGTAGGAGTCGGGTTACCCGTTCACGGACAATAGCAGACCCTTGACATACCACAGTCCGAAGGCATTGGTGCTGCCGAAATGGAAAAGATAACTGGTGTGTCAGAGCCTGTGAATAAAAACGGGTATCTTCCGATCAGCGAGCTTCCTTCCAATGGGAAATCTGGGAGGTCCTCTATGGTCATCTTCTAGAAAGCCACCTATAACAGGAAAGGGACACTCAGAACATTTCCACTCCACTAGTGCTCAGCTTGGGATGACCGCCTTCAGTCACAGAGACCCTGACAGTCTTTCATGCAGTCAGCCTGACATCTTCAATGCCCGGGCAAACAGCGGTTTAGGGACTATGTGTCACTTCCCACAGGCTCGCACCAGCCCATGCACTGTTGCAATACAAGGCTCAGGAGAGATAAACTATAACTGGCCTTTTCTAAAGAAATTAACTTGCCACTAAGATAAAAACCTGCTCTCAAGGCTGAGCTGATCCCAATGGGAGGCACTAAACAAGGGCACACTGCCCTCAGGAAGCCGACCTTCAAGCCCAGGATGCGACATCGCCTGCCAGTGGAGCCCATTACACATACACATCACATGGGACTTGCAGGGTGCCATTATTACCTGATATCCCAGAAAACATCACCGAAAATTAATTATTTCCACAAACGGAAAAGATGGCTGAGCTACCCCACTTAGCAATGTGGGGTCTGTTTACTCCACGACAGGAGGGGGGCTGTGACTTTAAACCCTATCAACTCATACTAGCCTTCACCCAGAAAACAGAGTATGTAGACCAAATTTTTTCTAAACTAGACCTGTAATATACCCAGCCTATATATCTCAGAAATGCTGTAGAGGGCAGAGAAATGTTAAGTGGAGCTCGGCTATAAAACTAAAGTCTTAGCTTCTTTTGATTCTGTTTTGAAATATTATGAATTCTCATGTTTATTTTTAGATATAAGCAAGACTTTAGATTACATTCAATACAAAGAACACCAGTAAACAAAAAAATAGCTAACTAGCAGCTTAATCTAGTAGGAGATATGATTCTGTGTGTGCTTTTAACATTTGGGAAAGGAACATATGCTTGACGAGACTAGAGTCATTTGGGAAGGACTCTCAACTGAGAGCTCCACCAGATGGGCCTATGGGCAAGCCTGTGTGTGATGCATGTCTTGATGGGTGAATGATGGGGGAGGGCACAGCTCACTGTGGGCAGGGCCATCCCTGGGCTGGTGGTCCTGTGTGCTGTAAGAAAGCAGGCAAGCCAAGGGGAGCAAACCAGTAAACAGCATTCCTCCATGGCCTCTGCATCAGCTCCTGCCTCCAGGTTCCTGCCCTGCTTCAGTTCCTGCCCTGACTTCCTGGGTAATAGACTTACAAACTGTAAAAGGAAATAAACGTTCCTCAGCAAGCTGTTTTTGATAATGATGTTTCATCACTGCTACAGAGACCCTAAGAGAGCTTCTTAAGCTAACGGAACCACCTTATCAGCCCACTCAGCTACAAGGAAACTGTCGCTTGGAACTAACTGGTTTCCTTCCCACTTAATTCAGACCTTTTCTCTCTGTGAGCAGAAGCCAGCACCAACAGTGTGCTCTCTTTTGGCTTAAAAAGCATACACTTATGCACACAGGAATGTTGTATGTTAAACAAACTAGCCTCGCTCTTACTATATTAAAGGAATCTCAATTTTTTGTGGGAGGGGGAAACTGGTGCACCCAACACATGGAGTCTTTGGGCATTAACCTTGCCGCACACACAGGAACAACGCAAAAGCAAAGGGTTAGTGTTAAATACCGAGGCGCTCTTCGTTAGCCGTTCCAAACAGAAAGGCACACCACTAACACCGCCCCTTCCTTCTCTTACACTCCCATCTACGGGTCCCACTTGCAGGCCCGTCTGCTTGGTAACAAATCGGGGTAAATATTCCCCCAAAGTAGATAGGAAGCTTCCTTGGAACCAAAACACAAAAACGAAACTTAGTGAACATCCATTACGGTTCCACACACAAGGCCCCGTTGGAGATGTTTCAGAGTTGACAAAAAAGGGTGGCTGGTGGAGCATGCATGGTAGATAGCTTATAATCTGTTTTTAAAGTGAAGTATGGCTGATGAGCACACAGGCAATGACACAGAAGAGGGCATGCTCCCACCAGTGACCTACAGGAAACTTTGCCCTGGGAACGTCCTGTCCTGAGCTGAGCCTGGGAAGCAACTGAAAAGGGCAGCCTGCTGTAGGGTGTGCAGCTGGGAGAGCAGGCAGATGCAAAGCTATCTCCATTTTGGGTTTGGGGTGGGTGTCTATGCTAGTTCTTAACCCACAGAAAAACCACACCACTCAATTCCATAAGCTCCGTGGAACCGGCATACCAAAAGAGACTGGCATACTTAAAACCATGTTTTAGGAAGAGTAATCGACTGTAATCACACTTTGGGGACTCAGACATGTTTTCTATACTCTTAATTTGTCAGCAAAGCGATGAGAAAATTGTTTGGTGTGATCCCCAGAGTACCTTTCATTTCCTGCAGACTGTCAAGACCTACATGTGGGGGGACAGCTCCGTGGGTGAAGCGTCTGCTGCACAGGTTAAGGACTGGAGTTGAGATCTTCGGGGCACACATTAAAGCGGGGTGGGTAAAGTGGCCCTCCTGTAACAGCAACGCTAGGTGACGAGGACTCCCGGGGACAGGCGGGCTTCCTACACCAGACAAACCAAAATCTCGGGGCTCAGCCAGGGACCTTGCCTTTGTAGCTGAAGTAGAAAACTTTGGAGAAAGACAGGTGACATCAACCTCTGGCCAGAAGCATGCACACATGTGAATATGCATACATACATGAACACACATAACCAAAAAAATAGAACTACTACAAGAACAAGACTACTACACACATAATAGACATTAAAATTCCAGATCCAAGGTGGAAAGATAATTCACACAAGACATGGAGTCCACTTCACTGTTTTATATATTTCAAGGCCAGAGAAGCCACATGAGGAACATTCTTTGTATTTTTTCCTAGTCCCATTTCTTTACCTTCTTGGGGGGAAAAAAAAACTCTTTCATTCCACCACAAACTACACACTACACAAGTTTCACAGATTTCGAGATCTGAAGGTTATGGCACCTGGAACCTGATCAAGTTTAGAGATGTACGGATCTGATGTGAGTAGGTATTTTTTCCAAAATCTCCTTTGGTTAACTGGGAAAAATTGGTTTGAAAGAGATCGTCCCTGATTAACTGGGTACAACCATGTCTTACAGTTTAAACAACTGAAACCAAATTTTCCAAACTTCCGGGCACATGGGAATTCCATCTTACCACACTAACTCAAACCACTTCTGGGTAAAAGCCCGTTGTCACATGGCTCCAACAGCTCATCATTTTCCAAGGAACCTGACTCTGCATTTGCACACCAATGACGTCTTCACAGAGGTTTGGGCTATCGGGCCTCCAGAGAGAGCTGACCAAGGGCCAAGAAATTCCTTCAGAATTGTTTATTTCTGTGATGCTGAGGATTGAACCTGTGGCCTCACATGCACCAGGCAAACACTCTACCAGTGAGCTACATGCAGCCTTTCCCTCAAGTGCTTGAGACACGGCTGAAGAGCAGCATACTGGAGCTCCTCAACTATAAGGAGACCCAAGCTGTGTCCATGTTGATTGTAATCACGGCCATTTCATTCAGTTTCCCATCACAGTCCATGGGTATTTATTTTCATCAATTCCCAGAACAAGACTAAGTGTTCACCTTTTACAAACACAACTCCAACAGCCCTTTTATTTGCTACTTATAAAAACATCCGTTCACTCATCACACACATATTACAAGTATGTAAGCCTTTCTTCCACGAAATTCAAAAACAAACCTAAGCAAATAAGCATGTAAAAGCATAGCTCCAATGACCCTTCTGTTTACTACAGACAAAACACTGGGAAAGCAGCCCTAGACCCTAGAGAGAACATCAGACACCCGCACTCAAGGCATTTAGCCATACGCCCGAAAAATACTATGTCTCATCAGGTCCTAAGCTGTGCGTTCCAGAGATAAGGAAATGAATTATGCCCCCTGTAGAGTCCAGCCACAACTACTGTACAGTGAGTACTATGACTTGGGAGAGCGGGGTGCTGTGCAGACACAGATGAGACAGAACATAGGATGTAGAGTTTCTTAAACAGTGGGCTTAGAGTGGGGGACAGCTAAGTTTGGAGTGTCACCAAAAAAAAATGGCAATCTGAAACAGTTCAGGTTTCTAAACGAGCAAACAGCTAAAAGAACGCAAAGTCTGAGGTGTCTGAGACAGAGCACTATTGTGTGACCTTGCTTTAGCCGTGGCCCTCAACAGCGTTCACTCAGCACTGCACACGTGGACACGCCGTTCAGTGCCATCTGACACCGCCTGAAATAGCTCCACCCAGATGTGAGACCAGGTGGCGCCAAGGGTTGCAGTGTTTTTACAAAGAATTCTGCTCTTGCAGAAATATAATGGTTTAATTACAGAAAACAAAGACTTTTAATAAGTTCCCATTGTCGTTCCTCAGCATGTAGGCATCAAATTAGCATATTTTAGAATTAGGTTTTGTTAGAATGTTGATTTTGCTAATTGTCGTTTATGTGCTAAATTTAAAAAAAAAATCACTAGCTGGGCATGGTAGCACAAGCCTTTAGCCCCAGTACTTGGGAGACAGGAAAGCAGATCTCAATGAGTTCAAAGTTAGCCTGGTCTTCAAAGGGAGTTCCAGGACAAGAGCTACGCAATGAGAACGTGTCTCAAAATATAAATAATTACTTTAAATCAAAAGTCATTGACGATAAAGAGATGACTCAGCAGTTAGGAGCCCTGGCTACTACCCTGGTACCCAGGCTGGGTTACCACCACCCCCATGATAACTCCAGTTCCGTGAAACTCCAGTTCCAGGGGATCCAACACCCTCTTCTGGCCTCCACTGGCACAGTACATACATGCAAACAAAAATACTCATGCATGTAAAATAAAAATAAATCGTTTTATTAAAAATCACATTAACTCCACTCTTAGGCATATATCCAAAAGATGCTCATTCATATAACAAGGATGTCTGTTTCACTATGTTCATAGCAGCATTATTTGTAATAGCCAGAACTTGGAAGCAACCTAGATATCCCTCAACCGAAGAGTGGATAGAGAAAATGTGGTACATTTACACAATGGAGTATTAT